TTGGAATCAGCGTGATTTTTCCTATCAGAATATGTATAAAAAAGGCAAAAATAAAAACGTGTGGTCTCTTTGAATTAGTGGCGCCTTATAATTTACGAAAAAAACGCAGAAAATCGTCTAAAAAAACAAGCAGCAGCACATTTCTCTGGATCTTCCGATGCCTGTAACTTTGCGACGAAAGATCATGGAGAGCTGTGCAACGCTTCATTGTTTTCAAAATGTTATGCTCTTTTAGATGGCTATATTGAAAACATTTTTAGCAAAATCCTCTAGTACTTAGAGCTCCAGTCGGGAGAGTTTTCTACAAAAACTTTCTTTAAAATCTTTTTTCTACAATTTTCAAGAATGCTGCATTTGATAGAGAACTTCAAGAGCTATCCAAATCACTATTCAGATTTGACCTAGCCACTCGGCTTTTTCGAAAAATTTCAAAAATACAGTGGCTCTATTATTTTTTCAAGTACTTTAGTTCTGAATTTTTTAATACTAGACGAAAATAAGAAATAGCCAAAAAATAGACATCCATTTGATATACATGTTATCAAAATTCACTACATGCCTGTCCTCGGGTTTTCAAGAAATCCGATACCATATCTAAATCACTGAAAATCAAGATTTAACTCTCACTTGATTTCTATTTCGAAGAGCACATTCTACGCTATCTATCAATGAAAAAGTTGGAAACAAGTTGTGTTTCAGGATGATCACATCCAAAGAAATCGATGCTAAGGTTTCCAGGAAATTTCCAAGAGCTGAAGGAAGAAATAAGAGGTTGCTTGGTTCTCAGTTTAAAGAGGACACTTTTAACTATCTATCTGTTAAAGAAAACAAAAATATTTCTACCGAACCTTGCGGATTACTAAGCTTGTTTTCCGAATATCTCTTCGAAAATCAATCTTCACGAAAACTGAATTATTAAGGAATTATTTGTCAACTAAAGTTTCCAACATTTGATATAGTAAGCATTGCAAACTAGTTTTCTGATGAGAAGTCGCCGTTTATCATGGAGTCAGGAAGAGAAATGATGGTTTTACTTCACTCGAACATAACTATTTTTCTCTCCGAAATGTACGAGTTTCGTATAGGAAAACATTCGTCAAAGTGAAGTGTTTAAATGTCGATTGTAGTGAATACACAGATCCAATTTCCTGGAACTCGTCCAAAAATTAAAGTTCATCACGTAACAGATACATCTGCTAAAATTGACACAACTCCGTTTTGGTTCGATCAAATCGAACCTATTGATCGAAGAAAGATTTGTCTTCCAACAAATTACGATTCAGTTTCACCGATCGATTATCAAACTATCGATTGTCTTTCAAGATATAGAACAATGGAAAGTAAAAAATCATTAAATTTTGTTAATGATCCATTTCAAGGTACTGTAAATGATTCAGAGACACTTGTTATTGCACTTAACGATGTTGTACAACAATGTAATGTAAACTTAAGTTTTACAAATGGAAACTTTAAATATGATGATAGTGATTATCGTATAGCATGTGGTATTGCTGATCTTGGAAGTATACATTCACTTATAGCATCAGGTGACAATATTCAAACTGCAAAATTCCAGTTTCGTTTCAATTTAAAATATGATGATATTGTAAAAACTAATGAAACTGTACAAAATTTTATTTTAAGGCTTTTAAATGCTATCGCAGAAATTATACAATGTCAAACACAATTTGTTCGTGTATTTTCATTAGACAAAAATACTTCAGACGAAATATCTGTACAATTTGGTGTCACAGCTCCGCAACAAAATGACACGAAAATTTTCGCTGAAAATTTAAATAAGAAAGCGTCTGGTTTATCGCAACAAAATAATGTATTATCTTATGTTATACCAGACAATTATAAATATGTCCTTGAACCAGCAGTTAGTCATTTACAATTACAAAAATCAGATTTTGATCCAAAATATAACATGGATTATAGAAATTATCATACGGAAGAAGATCAACGAGGTAACCGACCATACTATTTCCCTATTGGGTGGTATAGACATGCATTGAATGTTAAAGATAAATATCCGAATGATGAGTTATGGTTAGGAATGAAGAATTCATCTGGTGAATGGTCTGTTGCATACCATGGAACGAGAGCAGAGGCAGTAAAAGATATAACACGTGAAGGTTTGTTAAATTCAAAGACTAGAAAGGATGCTTGTAAGCAAGAAGCTATAAATCAAGTTGGATCTATTGCTGCTGGTAATGGTATTTATCTTGCAACACATTGTCAAGGTGGTGCAGATATGTATACAACAACCTTCCAAGTCAAAAACAAAAACGGTAGAGAGGTACGTTACAAAACTGTATTTCAATGTCGAGTACAACCTGACAAGTTTACGGAGCATGATTTTCCTGTCTGTTCGGGAAAAGCTTTACGAGTTTATGATGAGAAGGCCATTAGACCTTACGGTATTCTGATAAAAGAAGAAGAATGAACTCTACGAAAGCCCTAGGCAATTCATGCATTGTATAACAATACTGACACATTATTATTTTCTTTAACTCTGGACCGATATTCATTGATTTTTCGGTTCATTACTAATGGTATAAAAAGGTGACTTTAGTCCTATTATTCTTATTAAAAATTTTCACCTTACGAAATAATTCTTCAACCATTCATACTATACGAAGGAGGTATGGTTATACAGTATTGGTGTGTTTAAGACGTTTAGAAAGGATCAAGATAAGACTTTTACGTGCTGAACTTAGTTTAAAAAGGTGACTTTAGTCCTATTATTCTTACTAATACGTCCTTTTTCAGAGTCTTTATACTGGACAAAATTTATTGTCACAGCACAGATTTTCAGTACTTTTGTTCACGGTTGAGTTGATTGATGCAATGTCGAATTTCAACCACGTTATAAGTGGAATATAAATAAAATGCCATTCATATGAAAAGGGCGTTTTATAAGTTGGGTCATTCACAAAAGTGATAAGAATTAACTGTAGAGCTAGACTCAAATGAGTAGATGATGAGTAGGCATGCAACAATCCCAAGCTAGGGCTAGCGGATCGGCAGTGAACGATTCGTTACCGAACCGTTCGGAACCGATCAGCTAGCTTGGGATTGTTGCATGCCTAGTCTGGACTAAAGATAAACGAGATGACGATGAGATGGTTTAAACGAGATGGTTTAAAAAATACTTTATCACAGCTAAGAACATACAAGCAAAAATGAAAGAAATCTCTGTAACACAGAAAAAATGGTGAAGATTACACTAAACGAAGGAACAGCCATGATTACGCCGTAGCAGTACGTAGTCAAGTGAAAAACAGGTCTATGATATTTAGGTTTCCCAGTTTGCAAGTTCTCCTCCGCCTAAATATTCCGGAAGTTCAGTTTTTTCACCTGAAAAGGAACTTCTCTAACATTTACTCCCAGGATGATCAGACTTGCCGTAAAGGAAAAACATGCTCAAAACACTTCACACAATGAAACATCCACATACCAGTGTGATATACGTTATTCCGGCTGTGCTAACAACACCTTATAAAGTTTGTCAGCTGCACTTATCCGGAACAGTTCTAAGTGACTGAGACGGTTGAATCTTTAGTATCGAAAACGTTGTTGCTTCTGACGAGTTCTCTACTTTTACTGCATGCATTTATTTTCGAAATAGGGCGTAGTCACTTTAAAAGACTAAATCTCATCATCAGCGGGTGCATGATAAGAAGAGAACAAACCATATAGGTATACCAACGGCAACCCTTCACATACTTGAAGCCCATCCCCTATTAGACGAACATTTCGGCGAAATGTTTTTGAAAATTACCCTATATAAAGAGATGCTCAGTAACATATACAAACAAGAAAATAGAAAATACTTTATAATGATATTGAAAGCTAATTAAAAGAATTACTTGACGAACATATAATAAATGAACAATAAATAATGTCGAATTAACTATTAACAGTACAGAGTTCTTAAAATTGCTTCAGTGAAAAAATGAATTAATGAATTAAAAATGAATTAAGTTTATTTGATTCAGTCTATCTGTGAATATGAGGAGCGAATCGAGGATAGACCATGTTTATCAGATGGCGACGATAATCGAAAAAGATATTGAGAAAATAGACCGTCATTTATTCTGTTGTATCCGTTAGCTATTTGTTGTGAAAAGAAATTTCACTAGTTCTTTAAAACTTTCCATCCGACCTCGGCACAATAGCTTCTCTTGTGGTTATTGGCATTGCGTCTAATTTTGACTCTTGTTTCTTGGATGGTAAATATGGATTCTGTCGTGCTAGAATTGATGATTGTTGCTCAACATGTTCATCACCAAAGATTCCAAGACTCTGCTGACTTAATATCTGCTCTAAATCTTTTGGTGATGGATAATGAGATTTCATTTGTTTCAATTGTGTCACCGCACGACATAATGTTTCTGCTTGTTGTTTTCTCTGATTAAAATTTACATGATCGAATTCTTGATTATTAACAAAGTAGAATATTAATGTCTCGTATTGTAGTTTTTCTTTATAGAAAGCAACTTGATCTTCTTTTGACAACAGACGTATATTGGATGAAGTATCCAGTACACCATATTTGGCATGCTCAATAATTATGGTTATCACTCGTGTGGCAGCTGTGTCTTCGATAATCATTGGTTCTGGTCGATAATGTTGTGATTTTCTACAACAGCTACAACAGCCCTTTGGTTCGACAATTTCAGGAGGCTTTAATTGATGAGATTTAGCCTCCTTTTTTACGTCAGTTGAGTAGCGAATGGAAAATATATTCTCCACCGGTATTATTTGAACTACTTCATCAAACGATGTTTTTTCTGCTTTAGAAGATGCTATATGATTAACTTTATTTTTTCTATTTTCTTTTTCATAAAATGTACCCTCTTGTATATCGAGTTGAGTCTTCGAAGCTGATTCTTTATAAAGATGAACTGATAACACGGGACTTGTATAAATTTCGCCTTCGGTACGAACACCTTCAAAACCGTAGAGAACATTGATAGTAGCTCAGAGTTTTTAAAAGCAGCATGACATCAGAATGTTTAAACCAGTGGGACGTTACTAATCTCTACTAGTATAAATAATTCAAGCTGGATGATTGAATAACGGACGCTCATCAACACTACTATTCAGGAGATAGTTTAGCTAAATACAATAGTCATTCATGCATTGCAAATTTCGTCAAAAAAAAAATAGAGATATGTTTGTTAAAGACAGAAAGAATTACCAGCGTAGAATATAACATAACCATTTGGTATCAGTCTTTCATCCAACCTTTGTTCTGACGCTTGTATGTGTGTTCCTTCAAAATGTGGTGTACTTCTACAACAATCATTTCCCATTTTTATTTTTTGCTGCGTCGATCTTCTTACTTTATCGTTAACTGTAGAAAAAGTAAATTATGTATGGGCTGGTCTGTTTCAGCAATGAAAAATGACTAATTAACTTATCTTTTCATAACTTAAATATTTACCTTATACTATGAATGATAACTCTTTGTTTTTCTATCTATGACACATAAATAAAATGCTTGACTAACTATTCATTTATTTTCTCAATCTATATAGAGCCAGTTTCCGTTAAAATCTCAGCGAACAACAGTATAGTATAGATGGATTTTTACGACAGGGCTTCATGGAACGCAATCGCGCAAGAAACCAACAGTTCATAAGTTTAAATTCATTCATTCTAACATATTTGACATATTAGTACGGATGATAAGCTGGTGCCTAGCTACTATCATGATGACACCTAAAAGACGTCATCATGATAGTAGCTAAAAAACACCTAAAGATGTATGATATTTTTCACTTTCCTTAAGAATTCAGAAGGCTTACTTAGCAAAGTCCAAACCAAGTCCAAGAACCAAAAAAAACATTCAAGATTTCATCTAGTTTGTGTGCAGATATCGAAAATCTATCAAGATTCCGACTAAATAATCAATGACTAATTACTTAATTTCTGAGAATTTTAGCTACAAATCTTGATCAAGTATTCTTAAGACAGATTCTGTAACAAAAATTGAATTAACTGAGCCGAAACTTGTGAAATCTTCCAGCTTTTTATCAAGATCTTAGTTTAAGACTTTGACCTGGGTCATCCAATATATGTCTTTTTTCAGAAGTAGATCAAGTTGCTTTCTATAAAGAAAAACTACAGTACGAGACATTAATATTCTACTTTGTTAATAATCAAGAATTCGATCATGTAAATTTTAATCAGAGAAAACAACAAGCAGAAACATTATGTCGTGCGGTGACACAATTGAAACAAATGAAATCTCATTATCCATCACCAAAAGATTTAGAGCAGATATTAAGTCAGCAGAGTCTTGGAATCTTTGGTGATGAACATGTTGAGCAACAATCATCAATTCCAGCACGACAGAATCCATATTTACCATTCAATAAACAAAATAACCAGTTATCAGCACTACTGCGAGCCACTAATTTTATGAAAGAAACCATAGCATTTGCCTGTTACCGATATCATTTCAACGATAGTATCTAAAGTCGTCTGGAATGTTTTTTTCCATACATTTCAGTCGTGTAGAAAAAATGTTTCTGGGCAAAATGCGACGTCTCTGAGCGCTCCGTATTATTCATACACTAAGCTACATTCATTATGCGAAAGGTCACAAGGGTATTTTTTGTTGTCTTCCTATTAATTTGTTGGTTTTAACAGTTGAATAATTTCTTTGTAAGGCGAACATTTTTAGTAAGAATAGAAGAATTACAGTCACCTTTTTAAACATGTAACTTAGGTAAAAAATATCAGATAAAGATCTTACACGATCTTATAAGATTACACAAGAGCTTATAAAAGCTTACGGAAAATCACAGAAACAGATTCATCTTAAAAAATCTTATAAAAATCATACAAAAATCTCACGAAATCTGATGAAATCTTATTATAAGATCTTACATCAAGAATCAGTTTCTATGTTTCTTGCAAAATCTTACAAATTCTTATACGAATCTTACCAAATCAGACGGAAACATACAAGAATCTTATAAGATCTTACAGCAAGTTTCTTTGACCTGGGAACAACTTTGTTTATTTGAGACGTTTCGTTCTATACTATAGAACTTCATTAGTCAAAATGATCAATGTAAACATCGGTAGAAATAAAACAGCGAGAAGATAAAGGAAACGTGGTAAGAACGGAGAAAACATTTCTATTTCGGCTGAAGAATGATGAATCATTGTCGTTCTCATATGAAAAGTACGAACTTTTGTCAGGCTCAGAGATACAGACTCATATATATATATATATAAAATCTTAGAATTAATTTTATATTAACTTTGGATAAAATTTAGAAAACGTGGAGTCCCACGTTTTCTTTATCTTCCTTCTGTTTTATTTGTACTGATGTTTATACTTTTGGTTTTGACAGGTTGCGACCTTTCGTATAATGGTCGTAGCGTATTGCTGTGAAGAGCTAAGAGACGTCTCTCATTTTATCTAGAAACGTTTGTTCTACACTAGGAGTGGCACTTTACTAGTTACTCGGTGTTACTTACACTACGCAGATAATCACGATTATCTTTAATCGTGATTGTTAATTGTGATTAAACTACTATCCATTTCAAAATAGAAAAAGGATGATCATTTTCTCAATAACTTTTTCTACGAAGCAGCTGAAAAGATGCGGTTTTCGCTGTTCAAAAGAAAATGTTGGGGCTACAAGAAAAACTAAAAAGTTTTGTCCCAAAATTACCTGCAGGTGGTGTACCTTGCGAACATATTTTGCGAAAAAATGTCACACCACTGAAAAAGTTTCGGATTTTAACTTTTGAGACGACAGACAGGTAGCCCGGACTGAGATATTCGTTTCTAGAGCAG